TTCCAACAATAGAATAAAAGAGTAATGTAACAAGCCTAGCTTGTGAACAAAAAGGGGAATTTTCACCTCCTCCAGATGTTATAGACCTTGAAGTTGAGACTAGTCCAGAGCAAACTGCTACTGGTAAAGACTTATCAAATCAGTAACAACTTTCTAAAAGCGGCAATAGGTATTAAATTACCGACAACATCGGATAATTATGATGGATTAAGCCTCAGACCGAATGGTGCAACGTCTGCTCCTAAACAGATAAAATCACTTAATAGTGATAAGAGAATTCATATACCAAATAAAAGGGACAAGACCATTTATGTCGTGTTCAATGGTCCAAATGCAGGTATTTACTAAGATTGGGAAATTACCAAAAAGAATACATACGGTATTTCTGGTGTTTCACACTAGAAGTATGAAAGTTTTGTTGAAGTTTGTATTGCAACATATCAATATTCAACAACCAATGCAATGGCTTCCCTTGAGCTAATTTGCACAACAGATGGAATTATGCCAAATACAACATTTGGAAAAATTTCCAAGAAGCCCAACCAGGAAGCCCAACAAGACGAACAGATCAATCCGGCCCAACTTCCAAAAGAAGGCCTACCTATTGGATCAACCTGGCCCGAAATAGTGGTGAAGCAGAAATCTTGAAAGATAAATACTTCACAACAAATAGGAAGGACTTAAGGTTCTTTAATTTCATAATAATAAATGCGAATCCAGAAATGGTTATTGAAGCGTTCAATATGGAATGGTAAAAACTATATATCCCAGCCAAACCTTAAAATAATACAGGAACTACCCTCTAATGTTTACAAGAAAAAATGCATTTAAGGTGACAAGGACATTTTTCTAAAGATCATGAGTTCTGTACCGATTTAGATTAACGACGCAGTAATTCCAGCAAAACATTTAATCGATCTAGGGGTAAACTGTGGTGAAAAGTTTATTAAACAAAAAACAAGAAAGTTCAAACATGTCAACCTTGATGATGTTGGACTTAGCCGATATGAAACTCTAGTAGAAAAAAAAAAATGGAGTTCAATTCGGACGATAAATTGTTTGTGAATTACCAAGACAATAATTATTTGGTATACTCAAAATCACTAAAAACTATGAACAATGAAGATGAAACCAAGATTATCACCTTCCAAAAGAGCTTATTACAAGAATTCCATCATCCAGAAATATGCAAACAGATCAAGAAGAGCAGGGAGACACGTGGCAAGATTTACACCTGTCCAAATCCAAGTTGCCAAGCAACAATCAAGGTGGAGCCAACCACTTTGGAAACCATGTCTTAAGATAAAAATTCCCAAACAACATCAAATTCAGCCAACTCACAAGCCATGGAATAAATGAAAAAGTGATAAAGTAGGTAAGTGCATGTGAATGCATTATTGAGAGCATAGGGAGGGCATAATTGGCCAGAAGTTTCTCGGTGAAACATGTGCCAACATGGCTCACGTCAGGGATGACGTTAATCATCTTGTATCAACCCTCGATCCTTACTCTAGAAAAGGACGAGTTCATTTGACTCACGTCAGGGATGACGTTAATCATCTTGTATCGACCCTCGATCCTTACTCTATAAAGGATGAGTTGATTTTGAATAAGGGATATCAGAAAAACGAGACGAGAGGCAAGTCTATAGTTTTTTCTTTCTAATCTTTCTTCCCATTGTAATGTGTGATTAGTGATAAAGTTTTTCCGAAGGAACATATGATATAATAGAGTGCAAGGGTTTCTACCCGAGAATTCTTTTTCTTGTTGTGAAATAAAATATATATTAGTTTGCTTAGCCGAGGTCTTATATTATCACTGGATTGCTTGGAGGGACTAGATCTGTTCGAGCTGAAGAAGTACCAGAGGGAAAAAAGTAAGCAAAGGCATCCTTGGGATTGGTGAAGAGCAACACAAGAACAACAAAACAAACACAAAAGGTACGGTTTCACTATATAGATAAGAATTCTAGGATTAAAATATTAAAGACTCTAATTACTAATATGTGTCCTAGGAAGAGAACTCTTAGAATAAAGATATTTAGAACTAAAGGAAAAATTTTAAGTCTTAATCGACAGAACTAAAAAAAAGTCTTAAATATTTATATTCGAATGGAAACATTCGTTAATATATGAGATTTACCCTATGAAGTAGTTTACCCTCAAGTGAATTATTTACAAGTGATTCCACTTAAAATAGCAGAACTAAAGCGAAGGCTGAAAGAAGAAACTTTAGTCTTAGATGACTTAAGTATATCCTAATGGAATAATTCAGAATAATATAGAAGGGAAAGCATGTCTTCTTATTACATACAATTGAATGCTCTAATGGCAAATATATTTGCCCTTAAAAAATCAATTACAAAACAGAAAAGCAGGCAGCCCTTCTGGCAGTCTAAGAAAATCCTTAATTTATTATGGAGAATGATGATTTTTTGCATCTGCCAATAAGAGCAGTGTTTAAGAAAACAAATTGTTTAATTAACAAAAATGTTAGAGGAAAGAGAACAAATGTTGGATAACTTAGTTCGAACTTATCATTCTGCACCAGCAGATGTTAAACAAGCAAGCATTAGAACCTATTTTCAAAGTTATAATGGAATGCTCTCCTTAATTAACGCAATTAAGAAGTCGATAAAGAAAACAGAAAAACAAGCATCCCGTTTAAGTGCTCAGTTAATAAAGTCTTTTCGACTAAAAAACTCTAAATTAAATTCTCAGTTCATTACTTTTGGATAATTGATTAGTTGCATTCTTTAAACATGTTATTCAATATGTGCAAATTCCGCATAGGAATCAACAGGTCTAAAAATGTTGGTATCAGATCCATGGATAAAAGAAAAATCCTATTGGATAGTAGATCTTTCAATCAATATTTTCTGAATTCGTCTTCCAATACGGAATTAAAATTCAGAATGGGGAATAGCATTATTCGTTATCATATCTTAAGGTGGAGAAAGCTGGAAAACCTGTTTGGAATATGTATTTCTGTACGAATAACGAAGACAGATATATAGAGCAAGATCTCTGTCTTAATAGTGATCTTTTTAATGAGAATGAAAAATGTTTCCAAGCTAGTTTAGCAATAAAACATGATGTTTTGACAAAGATTCAAAAATCTAAGTTAAATCTCAAAAAGGAAGAAATTTTAAAATTCCAATGTTAAATTTCTTTAAAAGAAAAAAATAAAAATTTTTAACATGCAAGAATTGAATGTAGACATAAGAGATGTTAAAGGAAAAATATATCTACCTTTAATTGTTAAAGCAGAAATACGATAAAATTTAGAGATTCTATAAGAAATAAAATTTCAACAATCATCTAGGAGCAATAAAAATTTTGCTTAAAGTTGAGTTTCAAGAAGTGATTGATACTCCTATAAAAATGACATTAATTGATGATATAATTAATGACAGAAAGATTACAATATAGGTGCAACAAGAGGAAATGTTGTCTATGACAAGTTTATCTTAAATTTGGAATGTCTATACATACCAAATTTCAATAAAACTTTATCTATCATTCATCATTTTGAGAGAGACCATGAACCCTAAAGATAAAGTCTTTAGTGTTACATATGTTATAAGTCATACATTGACTAATAGTTATCATAATATAGATTATAAGAAAAAATCTTTTATTGAACTAGAAGATATCTTTTCAGATATAAGTTCAGCAGAAGAAAAAATTTTCTGTGAATTAACACCTCTAGAAGATCATTTGGCTATTGATATAGCTAAAGGAAAAACTATAATAAAATATAAAAATTCTATGCGAGATAAAAAAAATTCTTTAATCATAAAAAAACCAAGTAGACAATCTGTTTCAGATTCTCTAACAAGTATGTCTGAAAGAATAGATAATTTATCCGGTAAATTAAAACAATCAACAAGATAAAATATCTAATATGGCAAAAGGCAAAAATGAAATTGCTGGTACCACCCATGTGAGAGCACTACCAGTAAGGATAGGATCGAATCTACCATTTTACCTCATTATTACCTCCTGTATTATTTTGTTTCATCCTATGAGCTTCAACTTTAATAAAAAAAATTATACCAAATCAAACTTATTCAAATAATAAAACTTACAAATTAAATAAATAAATTTTAAATTAATTTATGACATTTATCAAACACGCTGCTATATAAAAAAACGATAGGAATAGAGACAAAGTTGGTCTAGTCATATTTCTCAAGATAACAAATCATCATGCTAATCTTATTTATAGTTTAAAATAATCAAATTCTTGAAATAGTCACAAGAAAAGCCGCTGCACTATTTTGACTCTCTGTTCTATTCCAACTTTACCCACAGATACTTTAATGTCATGTTGCCTAAAGTTTTTCTAATTCCGGCTGATCACGACATTGACACTCATTCATGTCTTAGTGCCTTGAAGAAAATCTGGATTTAACTTTCTATTGCAAATTCTATCTTGTTATCTATAATTTTTAAAAGAGCAAAGAAGACGATGATAAGAAAAAAAAAATCTAATTAACAGAAAACATTAGAAATTTATTAAAATAAGAAAAAAAAGAGAAAATATAAACCTTAGAAATGTTAGGACATACCGCTTATTCTAATCACATTTAGGATAAGAAAATCTAACGGTTAGACAGATAAACCTGACTTTTCATGTTGTTTTTCAAAGTATATGATTTGTGTATATAAGTATGCATATCGATAAAAAAATATGACTTTAGGCATCAACCTTACCAATTCTAACATATGTGTACTCTTTCTTAAAAAAATAAAAATAAAAAAATAAAAACAATAATAATAATTTATTTTCCGATTTTATTAAGAGTTAGCTCCACTGAAACTTTAGTAGATTTTTACATGAACTGGCCTGCATGTTTTACTCAAGCCCTACAAATAGGTACAATAACAGGGAAAAAAAATAACCCACGTCAATACAACAACATATTATAGCTTCAGAGATGGCAGATAGGTTACAAAGTGTATAAAATCAACACCGAAATCTTAACCAAATTTCATAAGCAAAATACATCAGGCAAAAGAGGGTTTATACTGTCTACATTCCATACAAAGCCAGTTCGGGGCAAATCGGCATGTGTGGCAACTGCAATGATACATGTTCGATATATATAGTGAGCCAGTATAGAAAAATATACGACGCGTTAAATTTACAGGCACCTCAAATTCTGATCCGGAAGACCGAAAAGCATCGACAAAAATTTACAAAGACCTCAAACTCCTGCAAGAGAAAAAAGAGACACATGGCATGATGGGATCATATCAAGGGGAATGACATTATTCAAGTTATCTTTCGTTTGATAAAGCAAACATGAGAGATGAACGGTACTTGAGTTATTCAAAGTGATCACTTGGAAGAAGATGGAGAGCGCCCGATAAGTCTACACTGTTCTGGGAGTAATGAACATATGACTTGTCCGTTAACTGGGAATAGTTCACCATCGATGCCACATCCATTGTGCGTGTGCTTTCCAGGTTTTATTCTCACCGATTTAACCTGCATTTTATTGTAATTGAATCATTTCTTCTTTCTTTTATCATCACTTGGACAGTTTTTAAAAATGTTTCTTGAGTCATGAAGTTAGGGTTTAGAACAATGTCCCATCTTCCTTTACTGGACAAGTAAATCCAAATGAATAACTGCATTTTGTCCACCAAACTATCACGAGTTTTGCATCTTGTCAAGTAAACCAAGGAAATTTTGCATTTGCAAGCCTAGCTGATAAAACATTTTTCACTTCAACTTTCTGGGAGCTGACATGCACTTATTATGAGCTAACATGTCAACGTTTGGTTTGTCGAGGGGCAAAGTGCAACAAATCGTATAGATTTTCAGATGGCATAAAAAATGCATTTACAAAGTTCAGTGGGAAATTCAAGAACCGCAATAGCTTAGAGGACAAAACGAAACTAACTAAATCATTTAAATCCAACTTGCCTTGACTTTAAAAAAGAACATTCATTGACTTGGTGCAAAAAGAAGAAGAAAACGCATCTAGTTTATTATCTCTCCTATCTTCACTTCATCTACATCTTCCTAGCTTCTCGACTTCTTCAGTTTTTAAAGTGCCGGTCATTATGGTGGAGGAATGCAAGCAAATTAAATAAATAAAATGGAGAAACTTTGCTTTTTTACCTTAACATACTCGACATACGGCAAGGAAAGATGTTTTCCCGTTTGCAGGCGCAAGAAAAACCTCAACAGCTTAAACCTCCCGCTCCCACGCACCAGCAACAAATCCAAAGCACTGTCGTCGTGCTCCGCCTTCGGCGCCACCACTTGCGAACTCAAACTCTGCACAGTCTTGCACGAGTGATTGCACACTAACACCCCAAGAAACTTCCCCTTCGTCACCACCCAATTCTCCTCCGATCTCACCACACTCTCCTTATCCTTCACATCACCTCCCTCCAACCCCTCAAGTGGGCCCGGCAACTCAATCGGGTTCTCCACCTCCCAATTGAGCTCCGAATCCCACCTGGGCTCGGCATCCCAAACCGGGCCCGGGTCTGACAAAGTCGAAGAGATATCCTCTCTGTCGTAAGTCGTGGTCGTGGCCCACGAACCTCTAGTGGGGTCGTTGGCAGCGTTTGGCCCAGCTCGACTCCGTGACTTTGACCGAGTCCTGGGCCAGTTTGGAGTAACCGATAGCGGGAGAGGAGGGTGGATGACTTCGGGCTCGGGCCCGGGCCCGGCTACGTTGTTTCTGCCGGCAGAGAGGCGTTTGGATTTCGGGTCGATGGCCCGAACGTAATCTGAGGGCTCGTTGCTGCTGCTGCAGGTTGTGTCGACTTCGGCAGCCGACATGCGGCTTGGGGTCATTATGGAGTCGATGCTCGAGAGGCTTGAAGCGCGGGGGAGGCCTTCTTTGCTCGAGCGGCGCATTATGTCGGTGTAGAGCTCGGCCATGTCTATGACTTCGTGGTCATTTGGGAGTTTGCCGCCTTCGCGGCCTTCTAATCGGGCTGGGAGATATTCGAGTTCGTAGCTGTACTTGGGCAAGCATAGGAATTTGAGAAAACCGGCAACAAAGTAGCGTAATGGGCCGAATCGTTTCTGGTATTTTTCGGAGAGCTCGAGTACTGCAGACAGTAGAGAAGATAAGAAGTCGGCAAATGAAAGGAAATAAAAAGAAAATTGAAAGGAAGAAAGAGGTTATTACATTAGGAACTGTTAATCCTTCAAAGAAGACAAGAAGAGTTTGATAATAAACACAAAGAGGGGAAAAAACAAAAAACATTAGCAAACAAATAAACATGAGCCGCAGAGGAATTACCATCGCTTATAAAACCGAAGTATGTAACTGTCATCCCAAAGTGAATGGCTCCAGTATGATACCACTCGACAGCAAAAACATCAGTGGCAGTAAGACCTCCCTGAAAACATTAAGAGAAGAGGGAAAAAGAAAGAAAGGAAGAAAATAAGGTATATGCTTTGTGGAAAATAAAAAAACAGAATATCACAGGGCATTCCTGGCAAAGCTGCCAGATAAATTAGAAGTTATGAAAAAACAAATGAATTTTTGCATATCAAACATGTAAATCTTTAACTTTGTGAAAGAGTATAATGGAGAAACAATACTTATCAACCATAAAAAATGCAAGAATCTTGATGATTGACAGGATGATGTAAAATTTAAAATCAAACCTAAGCCAGACAACAAGTACACATACCTAGATATCTATACGATTTTCAGCACTTTAGGGCGACGATTGGACTGAACTTTTGAGGTTCATAAATTGGGATAGTGTATAGGTATGGTTAAATACTTTTAACCATAGAATGGGCATCAATTTTTACAGTCCCTGCCGCAGTCGAAGACTATAAATCCCAGGTAAAAATATAATCAAGCATTTCATGCCTGAAAGAAATATATTTGGCAACCAGAGCTAAAGGCTCTCACGTCCATGGTGGCCCGGAGGAACACCAAACACACTTCAGACATACGATGAACTAGTACAAACAACTTTCTTCTATATATCCTGGTTAATGTGTTTCACTAATACAAACAACTTTCTTCTATATACCCTAGTTATTGTCCTGTCCCCCGATAGTGTGTTTGGTAAGTACCATAAGCTAGCTCATACCTTATTTAGTTTATAAGCTTTCTATATTCAAATAAGCTTGGTTTGGTAAGATGGCTTTTTGAAAAGCTGGAGCTTATTTCATATGCTTCCTTAGGTATATTTTCAATCATCAGCTATAAGCTCAACATTCACTTATAAGCTATCAGGTAGCTTATCAGCTAGGTTTACCAAACGCAACATATACACAAACACAAAACATACTTCACTGAGTGCTTCAATAAAATAGAAAACAGAGCAACATAATGCAAAGAGGGTGAACGCAAAATAGCTACCTTCACTATTGCTATTGCTGCAGATACTGGATCTCTAACTCCAAGAACCGTCCAGACTAATGAATTATCAGAACCAGCAGGTATGATTCCGATCGGGATTGAAATAGCTTCTTTCTGGTTTTCTCTACTGAGTAAACCATTCAAAACCTGTATTTGGATACGAGCATTACAGAGTTACAGTAATCAAAAGTAAACAAGCAAGAATTTGATGAGTCAACATAAATGGGGGAAAAAAAAAGTGGAGGCTCCTCACATAGTGCAACTGTACATAACTAAGAATCCACAACATATGAACGGCAGCTATCCAGATATTCTCATAAAATCATCATAATCACACAAATTAGTGAAAAAAAGCAAGTTCATGGAAGTTTGTAAGATGTAGAAAAGGGAGCGCCTTCAGTAATGCTGAATGAATAGAAATGCTCGAAAATAATAATTATCAACCCTTATTACATTACTAAGTCCCGACTATTCTGGGAGCAATAATATTGACCTGTCCCAACAATTGATAGAAACTTGAAATCTCCAACTTGTAAATGAACTTGAAAAAAAAAATCTGCCTAAAGATTAAAAATGTAATAAGATTGAAGAAATGCACTTTCTTTTTTGCCCATCATTCAATTTAATGTGCAGGGTACATCCTGCAGAACTTGCATGTAAAATTTGTTCATATACCATTTCAATAACTGCCTAAAACCAAATGCACATTTGAGAAGTCAGAATGCTTGCACAACAGTACAAAATGATGGTAAAATATCTTAGTCTAATGCTCAAACATTAGAAACTATACAAAATAATAAAATGTGATCAACTCTAAAGCTATTTCCCCTGATCCATGAAAGCGAAATAGAAAAGGCACGTAAGGAAAAGGGTGAAAAATTTGTACATACCTCATTTATGATTCCATCACCTCCTACACATATAATACCTGCAAAAAGAGCAAATGAGTGAACAGGCAAAGGGATGGATATAAAAAATCAAGCAGATTTTATAAAGCACAAAAGTCAACTGTACCATCAGGACATGTACTGAAATCAACACTGGCTGCAAGTTTTCGAGCATGACCAGCAGATTGTGTTTTAACAACTTCTAACTCAAATCCGGAGAGCTGTAGTATACAACATGAAGAAACAGTAACTAAAAGATTATCACAATAATGATATCTTATCCAACTCTAAGTTCCATCTCTAAGAGTTTTAACAGGGGATTGGTTTAACTGCTGTAAAGGTGTACCGAAGTTCTTGGTCTGCTTGTTTCACACACACCAAAATGGAACCATGTATAGTACGATTGCCTTGACATATAAATATGTCGTTTCTCATGTATTTTTACATTTTGCAATAAGGTTTTGAAGTTAACTAATTCATAAAAAACAGATAACTGTCACCCTTGAGCTTTAGCAATACAAATAATCTGCACTTTTTTTTTCATGATACATTAAAAGCAGAAAGCATGACTAAATCAGGATTATTTTACATTAAGTTTTCATCAAAGTAATAGTCAATATGTCATCCTTATAATAAATTGCTCAAATTAATTTATCACGAGCATTTCCTCCAACTATGTTGCTGCAACAAATATAATGACCTATATATAGTATATAACGGGAAAAAGAAGAACAAGGAAGAAAAAAACATTTGCTCCCCTCTTTTCTTTATCGTACTCCTTATCATATATAACTAGAAAGGAGAACAAGCAAAGGCACTTTACTCACTGCATGTGGAGTAGCTTAGCTCCTAAAATAGTTGTATTCACAGATTACTATATTCAAGAGAATGGTAGAAAAGATGCATTAAGAGTCACATTCGCGTACACAAGGGGAAAATCAAGAATAGAGAAGAAAAAAACACCAGCATTCCACTTTTCCTTATCAAACTCCTGATCAGAAATAATCAGAAAGGAGATCCTCACAAGCAAAAGCACTTGACCCACTACGTGTGAGGTAGATACTTTCAGGTTTCACTCCCTAAAATAATGTATCCAAGGATTGGAATATTCAAGAGAATGGTGGACAAAGTTGCACTGACAGACACTTTTTCCGTGTCTGCAGCTGAAGGAATAAAAGGAAAATAAGAGAAGAACAATGAAAAAAGGAAGAAAAAGAAGACTAGGAAAAAAAAAAAAAAAGTATAGTGTGCTTTTGTTGAAGCCTAAAACATGCCCGATGTTTGATCTCTCTGACTCTATGCCATATGTGCCTGTAACCACTATGTATATAACCAAATGGAAAATGCTGAGGCGAAAATAGAAATTCTAACAATATATTGGGTCAACCTACCTTGAATATAGGCTCAACCAAACCATGGAAAACTTTGCTTGACCGACCACGTCCGGATCGAGGGTTTAAAATGACGAGCATTTTGGGTGCACTTTTACATCTTATATATGACTCGGGAGGAAACTCGTTGAATACCAGATCTGAGCTCAGCTTCTTAGAAGCCATTGGGTGAGGCAAGCAATTAACATAGCACTGTTGATCAGCAAAAGCATTGACCCACTGAATGGCATCGTCTGAGGTGGATGCGAAAAAACGAAAGTCCTTCCTACTTCTCCCACTTTTAGTGAAAAGGTAACACGAGCCCTTTCTAACAGGATATGCATGGACAGTAAAATGTCTAAGACCAACACAGTACGACAGCTGAAAAGATAAAATTAAAAGGGGGTCATTAGAAATGAAAGCAGCATACATATTCATGCAAAGTCAGCAGCAAATCTAAAGGAATGTACCGAAATCACATCATCTAGCCGCAGTATGTTAGAGCCCCAAATCAGTGCCTTGCTCGTTAGTTTAGCATCAACCGTATCTGAGTTTGAACTCTCCGAAGTCTGTACCTCAAGGTTTTTACAAGATTTCCTTTTGTCGAGAGAGAGTTTTCCTGTGAATACTTCATATCCTAGTAAGTCAGACTTCTCATCTCCAACATCAATCCTATGTTCATCCCTCTTAGCCTCATTAGGATTAGCGTTGTTAGCACTTGCAGCCTTCCCTCTGCTATTACGTTTTTCAGGGAAGACAACAGGTGAAGTTTGTTGTCCAGTCGACACTTGAGAACATAGCCCCAGACGACGAAGAGATTGCTGAGTTGTCAGTCTCAGAGAATTATGCTTGGATAGACTGACACTCTTCTGCATATTGAGATTTAAACAACACAAGAGAGTCCAACAATACAAAATTCCAACGATTTAAGAAGCAGATGATCCAGGGTCCAAATAAATATTCTTCATAATACCTAAACCTGCATTGTTTGGCAAAAAATCCAGCACAATCATTAATATCCAAACATATTCAAGGATTCTCAGATTCACTGCATATATATACAAGTTACCACTGATACTCACTGTATTGTGAAAGAATTGGTTTTATATTTCAGTTAGTGACTGTAAGGTAATCAACCTTTCTACGAGTAAGTGAGCTTTGTATAAAACTTCATCAACCTCAAATGAATGTGGGAAAATTGAAGCCGGTTCAAAAGACAGCGTATATTACTCATTGTCTCATACTATGATACCAATGCCATAGTATAACAAGCCATAGGAAAACCCAAACAAGTTCAACATCTAAAATCTTTGAAGCATATATATAAATTTTAATGATGGATGGGAAGTGAAAAGAAAATTAATGACACAAAATTGGAATACCTCACTTATTATTTGGGAATTGAAGAAACATAGCACATACAAGCAAAGCAGAATCATCAGAAACTGACTTGGTTTGCAATAAGTAACCGGAAAACAGAAAAACCAATCAACAAAACCAGTCTTTTCAACATCTTCCCAAAAAATTACCCTTAAAAGAATATGATTGTCAAAAGTTCTTATTGTACATGTACATTTATAAGGCATAATACTAGTTCCAGATTACATTTTTCATAGAAAAGTGTAAATCTGAGCTCATTCTCACTTGTTCAACATTGAGATTTACCATCTAGTCTAAACTATTCGATCAACATACAAGCAAGTAATAAACTCTGAAGCATTGACATCTGAGAAACAAATTGACAAACAAAAAGGAGATAAATTAGTCCCAATACTAAAAAGCAGAGAAGAAAAGAGTCCAACATCAGCACCAATACGGTCAAGGGACACAGTTTTGAGCTGAATCACAGTACATGTTTTCTCCGGACGATTTACAATCGGTGGACACTGGGACCAATTCTTAGCGACCAAATAATAAACCTCGAATAGATCACAAAATCCCAGGTTAAACAAACATCTAAAGAAACCCAATAACAAAGACAGTATCTTTTTCTTTTTTAAACAATAATATCACCATCATATAAAATCCAAAAGCCCATAATCCAATAATCCGACAGAATTTTACCAATTCACTACCAAACATAGTCCGATCAGCCCTTACGAAACAAACCTACAGAGAAATAATATGAAATTCGCCAAATATGAGGAAAAATAAAAAGGCCCAAGCACCGAAATGTATGCACGGATATGAATAGCAGCATTTGCCCTCTGCATTTAGGAAAAAGACTTGCCTTTTGTTGTTCAACGGAAAACATAGATGGTCCCGCCGGAGATGACGGCGGAAAGCGGCGATCGGGTGGTGGGTGGGGGTGGTTCGGAGGAGAAAGGGATTATGAGATGAGCTGCAAACGGAGGACTGGCTTCTTGTGCTCCTCCTCCTTTCTTTTTTTCCTCTTCTTATTTTTCTTTATTTTTTTCTTTAACTTTTTTCATCCCTTTTTTTCTTTTCCTTTTTTCTCATATGCTTGTTTAGCTTTAAATTATGGTGGATTTAGATTATGTTTAGATATTTCTTTTGACTCTAGATTCTACATAGGCATTAAATCAAGGGAATTTGTATAAGTAATTTTGACTATAGTTTGGTATATGATTTTTATTAGAGAATTAATTATTTGATAAAAAATGTAATTTTGCTAGACTAAGGGTGTGTTTGTAAAAGAAATAATTTGACTAAATTAACTCAAAATGAATTTTTTAATTAACTAGGATTAATTTATAAAAAAATAGTATAGTTAGACCTTGTTTACTTTAGTAGATAGGACGGGATAACTGAGATATCTAATAGTTACTACACTTGATGGGACATAATAATTAGCTGATATGGCATGACGTGGCGTATGGGGCACACTGCTTTATCCTTAAAAAGTCGATTATTATTGTCCCACCTCTGAGGTGGGATACTTTTATCCTGGATGTGAAATTACTATCCTGTCCCCAAAATGCTCAATAGAATGACCAAAATGCTCTCATATTTCCACAAATTTACAGCTTAAACCAAAGAACTAAAATTTTTATTTCACGTATTTTCTATGCAGTAAGAACCCTAATAAGCTATCCTCCGCCCATCCAGAGCCCACCTCCGTCGCCGATTGATACCTCCGACGAACCTAACAAGCCATCCTCCGCCCATCCAGAGATCAACAAGCCATCCTCCGCCGCCGATGGATACCTCCGACGAACCCAACAACCCATCCTCCCCCCATCAAAAGCCCACCTCCGTCGTCGCCGCCGCCGCCGCCCAACCTCTTCTTTCCAAACAATACCCGCCGCTCGAACCGCCTATCGCCTCCATTTCCGGAAACGACGAAGAAGACCAAACATAGTACCCAACAAGCCATCCTCCCATTATCGGTGAATTATGTTACATGAGAGGTCTAGATAGAAGAGGGAGCTGGGGAAGCCTCTGCGTATATGTCATTTGTATGTATATGTCTCCTCATCTACACCTATTTGGAAAACTGGCCTCTAAAATTAGGGTTTTAAAAGAGGGGAAATTGAAAGAAAATGGAAGGAAGAAGAAGACTATCCTTAGTGCTATAATTGTCATTACCAGATATATCCTTTAATTTTATCCATTTAAGTAAATGCAAAACTATTTTTGGCAAAACACATCATTATTTGTAAACATTATATAAAAATCCATGTCACCTTACTATTAGTCCAATCTCATCCCATCCCATCCTATAAAGTAAACGAGACCTTAGTTGTTAGCGAGATTTTGAGTTTATATTAAAATAAAATAATAAAAATTGATTTGATGTAAAAGTAAAAGAGAGATGATAGGAAGTGATAGTTAGTTAAAATTATGTGAGTGGATGAAGAGTGAATTAAAGTTGATATGATGTGTAAAAATGGTTACTTGTTATTATTTAATGATTGATTGTTATTATTTAATTATATTGATAATATTAAGGATAGTGGAGTTAAGTTAAAGTTGAGTTAGATTTTGAGTATGAATTAATTTGAATTGAGTAAATCTTCTTACAAACATAGCCTAAGGATGTTTTATTTGTATGTAACTTTCTAGAGTTGCAATTTGGTACAATAACTTTTAATTTATTGTCAACTTTGTCATAATGATTTGTTTTCGGATTCCAAATTTATAGAATAATTATTATTTTTTAATTAATTTTATTCAAACTTGAGTGTGTATGCAATTGAAGATTCTGTCATGATATATCCAAATGTCTTTCTGGCTTCATTATATTATTATTTCATTGACCGTATATGGATGTCCAAGCTCTCCAAAAAACATTCAAGTTTTATTCTCTATTCGGAGGTATCCTATTGGAGATCCAATCATCGAGATCTTTTTAAACAGTGTCTTCCTAAAATTGTTGGTGGTCTGGGGCGACAAGGTACTAGGGTTCATATCTTTGGAAGATGAGAAGTTTCTTACTGATTAGAAATTTTGATCCTTGTGGACAAAGATCTAAAAACTGAGGGAGGAAATGTTGTGGATTCAGAAGAAATTGAGGTTAAATTGCAAGGGATTGAGGTGGATTTGCATATCGAGAAGGATTTTGGAAGCAAAAATGGATTTGTGGAAGATAAGGTTACAGTCGAGAAATGAAGAAATGGGCGTGTTGACTTATGTAAAGGATCTGCGATCCTGAACATTACATCATAAGAGATCTAAGGCGTACACTTGGCCAGAACATTTATATGTTATTAGTATTCAATATTTGTTTAGTATTAGTATTTTATTTTTCTTTATGAGTGGCACATGTTTGGAATGCAGTGTATCCGAGTCCCGTACAATTATGGCATGATTGGTTAGTGGAATGAAATTTGATAGGAATTAAACGAGTTGAAGAATGAAATGACTATTGGAAAGAAATGAAACAAGATTTTCCGGGTGTTTGATATGGTAAAGGAATAAGACCTGAATGGAATGTCGTTATCATCCTATATTATCTTTATCACTATTTAAAAAATATTAACATTAATGTTATTTTCTTATTTATGATAATACTAAATAATTTTATTTTAAAAAAATATACTATATTTTAAACAGATAACTATTAAATATTTCTTTTATTGTTACACTCCTCTTATATAATAATAAGTGGACTATGTATTTATATACATATTAACTAATATATATGTTTATATAAAAATAAATAAGATCTTTCTAAACTATGTCTAAATGCATTTTCTGTGAGCTTTTTTTTTATATAAGTATTTAATATATCTAAATAAAATGTGAATTAACACAGAAAAATAAAATTATTTTGAATTATTCATATGAAATTTATTTTTAAAATAATATTATTTAATATTTTAATCATCATATATAGTATATATTATATTGTTATTGTTTGTTGTTATTTATTAATTTTATTTTTTGATAATCCTAAAGACATGAGAATGAGAAAACCATGCATTCTATGAAATGGCTAATCCCATAAAGATGGATTTTGCATGTGGATGTGAATCATCACTGCTACAGCATACAAACGCCCCAAAAAATGTGTACTTTTCACATAATTAAATAAATGAATTTGAAACCGGCTAACCCCAAACGTTGCCCCATGCAGCGTCTCAAAAATTGGCGTTTCGGACAAAACAGACATTACCACCAGCTCTTTTACTAAACAATAGTTTTAGCTGGTCAAACTTTCAAAACAGCTAAAAGGCCCAAAAAAGCTAAAAGTTAACGGAAACGCCAACAACCAAACGTAGCCATTATGGTTGAGTAACACCAATATTCTCTCGTCTCTCTCTCATACCTCATATTCTCTCTCTCTCTCTCCGCTCTCTCTCTTCCTTATCTCTAAGAACATCACTTTGCTATACATACAATTAATTCCCAGAAACCTTTGGTCCGGTCCTGGCTCCTCAATGTAACCAGGAATGAACTTCGCTTAGGGCTGTCCAAGTTTTAAAACAATGCTTGGAAATTGGAGTTCCCAAGAGATGATCAATTGTGAAAATGACTATGCTCCATAAATTGAATCATATTACAGTAATATAAGAGATGACATAAACTTTGACATAATACACATATGTTACAATCTTCTAATTTTACACATCACAATACTTTTAAAATCAAGAACTACTACATACACTACAACAAAAAGGTCTTCTAACAACATAAATATAGTGGTTAATAATTGTAATTAAAATTGACGTTTTTGTGACACTTTATAAAAAGTGTTCCAAAGATAAAATTTTAACAATGTCTTTTTAAAAAATGTAATTAATTCATGTCACTTTTTAAAAAGTGTCACCGTGTTAACCAATATTGAAACATTTATTTAAAAGTGTAATTAAATTATAACGTTTTATAAAAAAAGTGTCGTCATGTTTAGTTATATGGCGACACATTTTAAAAAGTGTATTAAAATAATGTCGCCTTTTTATAAAATGTCACAATTTTTACTGATATGACAACATTTACCTCAAAGTGTAATTACATTATGACACTTGTACAATTGTGTCACCATTTTTATGCATAAATGTAATTAAATTATGACGTTTTATAAAAAAGTGTCGTCATGTTTAGTTATATGGCGACACATTTTAAAAAGTGTATTAAAATAATGTCGCCTTTTTATAAAATGTCACAATTTTTACTGATATGACGTTTTATTTAGGGGTGTTCACGGTCCGGATTGGTCCGGTTTTAGCCCAAACCATGACTAAACCGGACCTAACGGTTAATTTTTTTTCTTGTCCATAACCGGACCGGTTTTATTTTTTAACCGACCACAATCCGGACCGCATTGGACGGTCCGGTTTGGTGGTTAACCGGTTAAATCCAAAACTTGTTTTGGGCCTTCAATTTTTATTTTTTTCATTTTGGGTTTAACTTTTGTTTTTCAATTTTGGGTCCTAAAGAGATTATTTGGGCTTAAAAATTAAGAAAAACAACAATAATGAAATAAAAAGTACACAATTCGTCTCATAAGTATAAAAATGCACATTTCCTCCCATAAACATACAAATATAAAAATGATGAAGATTAATTATGCAAACTGAACTCAAGCAAACATTCATTTTTCAGTCAGTTTATACACCTGAAATAATAAGAGCAAAGCATTCATAGTGAATGTATTGTATTTGTCGGCTATAGTGAATGACTGAATGTGTATATATATTTGTTATAGTTTTTTAATATTTACCGGTTCGGTCCGGTTAAACCGACGGTTTGCCGCAGGTAATCCATTAACCGGACCGGTTATTCCGGATTTTTAAAAAAATTAACCACCGGATTTTTTAAAGCTTTTTTAACTGACTATTTAATCGATCCGCGGTCCGGATTGACGGTTTTTTCCGGTTAAAACCGGACCGTGAACACCCCTAGTTTTATTATTATTACTATTATTATTCATTTGTTGAAAAAAAATTAATAATTATATGGTTAGTTCGACTAATGATCCGTTGGTTCGCCATCATAATTTATAAGAGCTCACAACTAGGGGTATGTATATTTTAACTAAAATCGAAAAAAAATACCGAAATGAAAAATTTGGTTCGATTTTTATCCGACTCGGTCGGTTTTCGGTTTTAGTCGAATTATTTTTTGGTTATTTCGGTTGGTGTTGATTTCCGGACATCAAATGTCTAAAATAGCCGAACCGACCGAATAATATTTATGTGTATATATATATAATATAATATAATATAATATATATTAATTATATTATATATATTTTAAAATGTATAGTTCGGTCGGTTTGACCAAACCTATCGAAACCCACCAAGAAGTCCGGTCGGTTAATATTCAGTTTAAATTGATAATTTGGTCGGTTTCTATTATTGGCATAGTATGGTTCGGTTATTTTGGTTTTCTAACTCGGTTCGGTCGACTGATGCACACCCTTACTCACAACTGTTGTAGTTGAGTGTAATTGTGGTTAATCAGAGCATTAATGAGGGCCTGCCATATTGTCAGAAGTGTGATGGCCGCCTGCAAAATTGTCAGAATATTTAATGGCCAGCCTGCAAAATAGTCAGTGCAGACATCATTCGGCTTTTAATGCACCCATCTATAATACCAAATTAAGATGATGTTTCCAAGTTCTATAAATACGGACTCATTTCATTTGGAGAGGACACAGAAGACAGAAAGAGAAATCACAATACGCAGAAGGAAGAAAGTGAAAGAAAAATAGAGAAAATAAAAATAATATTTATATTTTTTAGTGCTCAATAAATAGAGAAAATAAAAATATTATTTATATTATTTAGTGCTCAATTCTCAACTCCGATCCAGTTCGCCAGAGCTCGTAAATCTGGTGTGCTACAGATTTAGAGACGTATGTCGTTGTATCTTTGGGGAAGTTACGCCTGAACCGTTAGCTGCCACACGGGGCGTATTCTTCTTGCGGAAAGAATTTTACTCGCCTC